CATGAAAACAAGTCGAATCAAAAAACCCCAAATTCAAAATTTAAGAATGAACGAATTATGGCAAATATGAATTAAGAGTGAGATCTACTTTCCTTAGCTTCAAAAATCGCAAGAAAAAAAGCATTCTAGAGATAGAAAGGTTCGAAAATGGCGAAAAAGGAGGCGAGAGAATGCAAAATGAAAATCGCGTTCAGCGATTTCTTTTTGCTGAATTAAATGTTGCGTGCAACTCAATCAGTTGCGTGTGACATACCAGCGCAACTCAGAACGATGCGCGCGCCTGGCCAGCGCGACCCACAGAGTTGCGCGCGGATACTGGTCACTAAAATGACCGGAATCTTGATTTTGATCCGTTTGATCAATTTTCAACGGTTTTTGCTCGTTATTAGACGTAATGGCGCGTAAATTATCAAAATCTTTTTAAATTGCTTTGCATTTTGTAGTTTGTTTTCTTCTTTGTTAGTTTTTTGCATCATCTTGCATGCACACCGTGCTTTGTGCCTTCCCCAAGCATACGTTTTGAACGTTTTTTTTGTAAGAGTGCCTTAAGACGTTCCGTGGTGGTGGTTTACGTAAAAGCACCCATAGACAGGTTTATCATTTTACTGTACTGACATTACAAATGTCCGGATTTTCTTCGTTTTTCACGTCCAAAGAAAAAAGGAAGGCGTTGTAATGCAACGTAAAAATGCAAATGACGTATCGTACGACGCAAAATTGTACGGCGTAGGTGTTGCGTAAAATTTCACTCAGCCTAAGCTTTTACGAGATCTACCTCTCGGGACTAAAAGGTAGAGATCTACCTCTCGGGACTAAAATTTCACTCAGCCTAAGCTTTTACGAGATCTACCATTTCGGCTCAAATACCAAAAACCCTTTTTCATATTTTTACTTTGTTAAAGTCACGCTAAAGTTTCAATGACATATCGAGGGACTTTAGACCAACAATGACACGATTGAGAAGAAATCTTCCCCTTTTATCCTTCTAAAACTGATCTCTTCTCTTGACTTGACATCACCTAGAACACCTTTACTTGTAAAAGCGTTCTACAATTGCAAAGGATCAATCTAGATTCTTTAGCGTGTTAAGACTAGGAAAAACTTTTTCTAGCCTTAATAGATACTTGTTTCAAAAACTTAACGAACGGAGGATTGTTTCGACATCCTTAAACATTACTGAAAGATTCTCTATTCTTAGGGAACTTCACAGAATGAGTCTCGGATTTATTTCCTTGACTACTTTTATCATCGTCTATTCTAGACTCGATCAAAGTGGGGGCTAACTGTAGACACCTACTTTTTGCCTCTTGTCCCGAATGGAAGTGCAATGAGGTTACAAAAATCCGTTCTTCATGCTAGATCAAAGTTGAAATGTTCATGGACTATGAAAAGAATTATGAAGTAATTTGAAACCCATATTTGAGACCAAGTTATCTTAGAGCCTTGTCCGATTACTAATTAGGCCTAAAACGTATTCATACATGTTTAAACTTGATTAATAACGGACCCAAATGCGTCAAATGCAATGATTGGATCCAATGGAACCTACATTGTTGACAAACCGAGCCAAACAGGTAAAACAACCATAAAATTCCCATGAAAGGCCTATAAAGATGGATATTCTTTCAAAGATCTTTCCAACGGTATATTATAAGCCCAATTCCGAGCCAAAACGAAGAAGTTATGATCAAAACACTAAACCGGGCCCTAAAACCGACACCCTTTTACTCCAACGGCCATAACTTTTGATCCATAAATATTTTGACCTAATTCTAATGGAATTGGAAACTAGATATTCATAGATTTCCAATGATATCTCACACGCCTTAATCCAACTCCGCAATCAAAAGTTATGGAAGTTTTAAAAACGCATTTTCGTATAAGGCAAACAGCAAACCAGCGCAACTCAATCAGTTGCGCGCGACTCATTGAGATGCGCGCGACACCCCGACGCGACTCTGGGAGTTGTGCGCGTTACCTTACGGCGCGGCTCTAAAACCCTAAACCTAGATCCCTAAGCCTATAAATAGGGGTCTTCGTTCAGCATTACGGCCTTACGGGGACCGAAAAATTCAGAATTAAAACCCTAGTATTCTCAAAACCCTAATCTCTCAATTTCTCTTACTATCATACTACTTTTTTTTCTGTCTTCCCAAATACTTTCCAACCCTAATTCATCCATGAAGATCTTGAAGGTACATAGAAGAAAGAAAGTCCATAAACACATTAAACAGAGATTAAACATAAAAGAAGAACAGTTAGTTTCCCGAGCACTTAGATAAATCACTTTTCTTTTATTATTTAAATAACTTTAATTGATTAATTAGTGTTGTTTGATCACTTTAAACAAACTTTAATTAATTAATTCACATAGTACTCTTTCGTTAATCAAGACTAGAATTTGAATAATTAATTGTTGTTTTATCACTTAAGACAAGGCGAATATTGTTTATTTTGTTCTTTTCACGAATATTGATTAAACAAAGAATAACAACTTTTGCAATGTAATTCCTACGTGATTAATGCTTGTAAATAAAAATTAACTAACTTAGTCTTTAGGTATCACGTTGCATATATTGTTTGGTAATGAAATTGTGAAAAAGGAAAAGCTAGTAGAGGTCGTACTAGGGCTAGAATAGCAATTCCCCTCTAAAGGGAACGTTATCTTAGTACCCTCGCTCCCGAACTCATTTCTGGTTTATGTAGACCAATTTGGGCATGGGTAAACTTATGATTCATGCTAATTATTCCATGAACTTCACATGGAAGAAAGGCATGAACGAGGTTTATGAGTTTTCCTAAAACTCATTGGCGACTCCTACTTGTTTCTTACAAAAAAGCGTGATGAGAGTATTATTTTTAATTCTAGGTCTCCCAAACAGTCAAGAATTTAAATCCTAATACACCCTAACAAGTGTAAAATCCTAGGATTTTAAGTGGCCATGAGCATCTAAGGAAGGACCCCCTACAATGGGATCACCCTCCTTACAAGTTCCATGAAATAATGTAACTCATTGTTCACCAAGAGCCCTTTGGGTGGGGCCCGCCACACAAGAATAAGTCATTGCAGCCACTCTCTTTTTCTTTTCTCCTCACTTTCAGTCATCATATCACTACTCTCAGTACCCAAACAGTCAGCATCTTTCCTTTTTTCCCCGTTCACAATTCCCTCCATACTATGATCAACATCCCTCAAACAACGCTTCCAATTCCTCTTGCTTTGATTGTCTATAAAGCTACTTTTTTTTCTCCATCACCCTGCTTATTTTCCCCCACCTATCTTCTCTACGTTCTTAAAAATAAAAGGCTCATTCCCCTGGACACTCTGATTTTTTTCTCCTTCCCCTTTATTACTCAAACCTACATCTCCTACTTTGTCAAGAACCTCCTCTACCTGAGCAGCAACAGTAGGTTTCAGAGCTATATTCTTTTTAGGCTTAGTAACAAACAGAGCTTTCGCACACTTGCCTCCTTTCTCCCCACTGCCATCCCCTTCTCTTACCTTATACTTATGTTGTGCTAGAATTTTCACCCCAAAATTCCCATGTTCTATAGGTAGACAGGTTACAGGTCGCAGATTAGTGATATACAGGTTGAAGATAGCTGCAAAGCTAACACTAGGAAACCAAGCAACTGAGCATATTCTCAAGGAATATTCCCAGGAATCTTCGAGTGGAAAAAGATACAAAATCCCATCCGTGGAAATAGGAACCACTCCCAGCAGTCTAGTCGTTGAGGAAAACCAATTCAAACGTGGAAGTAACAGACGTGGAGAGAAAGTAGGAGCAGCTTTGGCCCTCGACTGTGGATTTCTAGGAATCAAGAGAAAGAGCTGTTGAAGACCCTTTAGATGCTTTCCTAGTATATAAATATAAGGATATTCATTGTAAAGGGCATCAGAAAATATAAGAGCCTTACTACTTAGCATAATCATAGAATTCTAGTCGTTTTATTATCGTTCAACCAACAATCTGTAACCTACATTGTAATCTGTTCAACCGAAACACCTAGTGGATTGGTGGACTCATAGCCACCTGCAGTTTTTACCCTTGTTCTTAGGGTTTTCTGCGTCATCATCTCGTGTGTCTTCTCCCTCATTCCTTTTAGTTCATTTCGTAGATCCAGATTCAGCAATTTCCTTCACCTCAACTCTTCTTCTTGTTGCTCCTGACATATTCGAGTTCCTTAGCTAACTTCTCCAAGGATGCTTTAGATTTGGCCTTAAGCCTCGCTAGGGTTGCTTGAGATTCTTCTTCGAGCTTCTGACTTCGCTCCCTGGAAGCTCTCAACTCTTCTTGCAATTGCTCGATTAATGCGTTTGCATTTGGATCTTGATCTTCTCCCATGATGAACGATAGACCGAATTATCTAAATGTATCCCCATAGACGGCGCCAAACTATTTTGGTCAAAAAATGAATACCAAGTTCGACTTGGGTTACGAGCAGATCCTGGTATTCAGTTTTTTGACCAAAACAGTTTTTTTACCAAAACCTTGAGAAGATGGCACATGTGCGTTCCAGCTTCTAGGTACCAGCTTACCGTTGTCACCTCAAGCTAGCTGTAGCTATCGTAACCCACGTCGAACTTGGTATTCATTTTTTTTACCAAAACAGTTCGGCGCCGTCTGTGGGGATCGAACCCACGACCACGTGGTTAAGAGCCACCTAGAAGAATCTTTCAGCATCCTCCGGAAGTATACAATGGAGCTGAACCCATCCAAATGCTCGTTCAGAGTAGCTGTAGGTAAGTTTCTGGGCTACATAGTCACTCAAAGAGGAATCGAAGCTAGCCAAATCAGGTACGCGCTGTAATTGATATTCAATCACCTAGAAACCTAAAAGAAGTGCAAAAATTAACAGGTAGAGTAGCCGCATTAAATAGGTTTATTTCGAGGTCATCAGATAAATGTCACTTGTTTTACAACGTTCTAAAGAAAAACAAAGGTTTTAATTGGTCTGATGATCACAAAAAGGCCCTTCAGGACCTCAAACACTATTTAATGACGCCACCTTTGCTGTCTAAAACTGCTGATGGAAAGTCTTTACAGCTTTACCTCGCAGTCAGCACCCAAGCTGTTAGTGCTGTCTTAGCAAGGGAAGCTGAAAGTCAGCAGTTACCTGTTTATTATATAAGTAAAACTCTCCTCAGTGTTGAAACCAGGTACTCTTCTCTTGAAAAACTGGTATTAGCACTGGTCGTAGCTAGCAGGAAAATCCGCCATTATTTTGAAACTCACCCAATAGTGGTGAAAACTAACTACTCTGTGAAAGTTGTTTTACGTAGACCAGAGTTAACAGGTTGAATGAGTGAATAAGAAATCGAGCTTAGCGGATTTGGTATCACATACGAACCAAGAACAGTTATCAAATCACAAGCATTAGCCGACTTTGTGGATGACTTCAGCCCAAATCTTGAGCAACAAGCAGCCTTGGAATCTGAACATATCAACCAAGTCCTCAACCCAGGTGCCTGGATACTTTATGTTGATGGATCGTCTAACTTTCGGGGTGCAGGTCTTGGTGTAGTGCTGAAGTCGCCACAGGGGGACATGATGGTACAAGCTATTTGTTGTGATTTCAAAGCTACTAACAATGAAGCAGAATATGAAGCTTTGATTGGAGGTATGAATCTCGCCAATGACCTAGGTTTTACTAACCTGCAAGTATTCTGTGACTCTCTCCTGGTAGCAAGTCAGATGAACGGCGAATTCACAGCCAAAGACTCCAAGATGGTTCTATACCTAGACTTCGCCAAGTCCCTAGCAACCAAATTCTCGACCTTCACCATAAAGCAAATACCTAGAGACAAAAACACACAAGCAGATGCTCTATCCAACTTAGGATCAGCCTTAAGAAAATCTAAATTTTCCTCCATCCCTTTGATCCACTTACTAACTGATGTGTCTATTTTAAATAGTATTTTACCCCCGTTCCTTGGTCATAATTAGTAGTGTTTTTGGCTCTTTAGAGCCACTTTTATTACTAATTGGTGTTTTCTAGTGTTTTTGTAGATTTAGTTGACTTTTGCAGGGATTTGCACTTTTGGAGCATTTTCCCGATTTATTATGGAGCAATTACGAGCATTGGAGAAGCACGACCAGTTTCTATAGCCCAGGACCGGTTAGAGCCATCGAACCGGTGATTAAGGGCTCGGTATAAGTGATACCGGGGCATTTCGACCGAGTATTCAAGACCCGAAGAGGAAACCCATATTGGTCCGAAGAATTGGAACCCAATCGTAGTTCAAATAGTGGCCCAAGAGAGCCGCCCAGCCAAAAAGGCTGGCGCCCGGAGGCGCGCCCGGCCGGGCGAGAGAAGCAAAAGTCGGCGCCCAAAGACGCGCCCGGCCGAGCGCGAGAAGCGTACCTGATGAGCAAAAAGGCGCGCCCAATCGGTCGGTGCCTCGCCCGATCGGGCGCGTATTATTATTAGGAATTAATTTTGACGTTTAAGTTTGTTTTAGTTTAGGATTCGTACGGAGTATAAATACTTCTCCGTAAAACGAGTTTAGCAACTTTCTTTACTCTCTCTTAATTGTTTCCTTATATTTTCTCTCTCTACTTAGCTATTAGATTAGTTTTCTCTCTCACACACACTTTTTTCTTAACTTGATTCTTAATTCCAGATTTATTTTGGTAACGATTTCTCTTCTCATAATCTTAGTTGTTTATTTTATTCCTTTGATCATGTCTTGTTTTATTGCTTTGATTAGTTTAGTTTTTATTATGTGTGAGTAGTTTTATTTCTAGGGTTTATGGGGATCCATAAATAATATGAAGGGGTAATTTATGGTTGTTAATTGTCAATGCTAGATTAATTTCTTATTGATTGATTTAATGCTCTGTGACTAGATTTGCGCAGATCTTTTATGCATGAGTTTAACAATATTGATTCGAGATTCGACAGATGAGAATTAATGTTTAGGTCTAGTTTCAATAGGCATGTTAATTTATAAATGGTTAAGTCGAGATTCAAAAGATGAGATTTAATACTGGTAGATTAATTGTGTGGTTGTAATACGTAGCGAAAGCCCTTTGTGTTCTGATTAATTTATGCATTGATGAATAATTATTATATTCTACCGTGGAATATTATTTATTTGTGAACCTATGCCTTAGATCCTTTTATATATTATTTTCTCCTTATTCTTAATCTTCGTAGTTTAGTTTCATATCCAAATTTATATATCGATTACTTTATAATTTAGATTACTTTAATTGATTAGGAATAGAAAGATCGTTTATTTGTGGATTCGACCCTAATTCCCTATCTACATTAGTTAGAGGATTTAGGAATTACTTTTGATTAGGGGATACGACTTTACCCTGTCAAAAATTGGTGCCGTTGCAAAATTCCTTTTGTAGACACCTAAAAATGTCTCCCCAAAACCAAACTCGATGATGAACAACCTTTCAGCGCCATTATTGGTCAGGTTGAGTATTTAATTTTTGGAGTGCTTAAATCCATTTTTCCATTTCATAAACCAACCCAATTCCTAGCCCATTTCCCCAAACCATAACTTATTTTCCTCTTTTCGTGCCTTTAAACCCAAAATAATTCATTTCGTGTCCTTTTTATAATAACGTTTGATCCAGTTTATTTTGGTCTATAATCTGGGTCCAATGATTGAATATTTGGATGGGGCTTGAAAATATCTTTCCAACGATATATTATAAGCCCAAATACAACTATAACGAATAAGTTATGGCGAAAATAGTAAACCGAGCCCAAACCGAACCTAAGCCCACCTTACCTACGACCCAATGATCATGTGGAGGGTCCAAATTATTTAATTCCATTCCTAAACCAATTAGGATTAATTGGAAGCTTCTATAAGTTTCTAAAAGATCTTAATTATCCTTTTTGAAAAGATAAGATTAAATATTTTGAAATTGAATAAAACTCCTTATTTTGAAAATCCTATTTATATCTGAATTGAAAGACGTTCAAAGATAGACAGAAATTATTTTCGTGCATCATAGTTTTTATCCAAATTTTATATGGTTGGATAGCCCTTGAAATTATCTTTTCAATGATATATTATAATATCAATTCCGAGTTATAACGGAAAAGATATGAATAAAATGTCAAACTCTATCCAAAACTGATACCGTCTCACTATTTCGGCCATATCTTTACTTCTACAAAATATTTTAATCTGATTCTAATTGGGTTAGAAAGTTAACTTCAAGACTTTCCAAATATATCTTATTTATCTTATTAAAATTTCTGGATCAAAAGATATGATAAAAATAAAAACCGCAAAAACTTTTGTCTATCGCAAGAGTTTTATCCAATTCGAATTCTTATCTTTTCTTGATTCTTCGACCATCTTTTTTCTCTATAAATAGAGATCATATTTCCCCTTTTTCAATCATCAACAAGCTTGATCATTCAAATCATTCTCTTCTCCCTCTTTAGCCTAAACACTATCCATCCTATTCTCTCAAAATACTTCCCTTAAGCACTCCAAGGAGTCCATACTTAACCCGAGGTTCCTACCTTAAACCAAGGCGTGAAAGGTAAAAATAACTGAGGGTTTGGACCAAATCAAATCTAATATTTATTTAATTTAATTTTCATTTGATTTATTTTTATTGAAGTTACTAACAGTTTATTCATGATGTAGTAAGTCAAGGAAACGCGAAAAGTGAGTAATTATTCACTTAATTACTCTTATTTTTATTCTTGTTGCTAGAATCATGATTAGGTTTTTTTAAATTTGATTTGACTAACGTTATTATTGTTAAATTTCTTCCAATATTAATGTTTATTCTATTATTATTATGATCACCATATTGCATGTTTAAAGGGAATATGTAATTGCCTAATAAGATAATTTGGACAACCGGTTTAGGTTCCTTTTTAATCTTGTTATTAATTCAAGTGATCAAAATATTTTAGAATTATATGTCGCATTAATATTAAACCAATTTAGCTTAATAATAGGTTTGAGCAAATTGAATTTTTGTTTGTATGCCTTTGAGATCGCAAGAATCACTTTTCACTATAAGAATCGAGTAGAGGCCAATACGGGCGAATGTGACTCCATGACTCACTTCGTACCATCATCCCCGATCCTCCTTTTGTGGTTCTGAACCATATGGAGTTAGTAATCTCATGGATTATGAATGGGGTGTAACCTTCACAGGTCAATTGTTGTTGCCTATCATTGTCCCTTTATTCGTGGTTGCTTTTTATGATCCGTGAACGGTTTACAAGTTCCTTAAAAACTTGTTGGCGGCTCCCTACTTTCCTTGTCCCTAATCGTATATGTCAATTCCCACTTCCTATGAGTTCTAAGCATATTCACAACATGCTTTTTAACGTAGGCGCACTTCGAATGACGCCTACACCTTCATATGCAAAATTTATGAAAGAAATATTGACAAGAAAAAGGTCTATTAGTGAGGTAGAGACAGTAGCGTTCACTGTAGAGTGTAGTGCCGTACTTCAAAATAAATCTCCACCTAAATTAAAAGATCCGGGTAGCTTTTCTATCCCTTGTCATATTGGCAATCTAATGATTGATAATGCATTGTGTGATTTGGGTGCTAGCGTTAGTGTCGTTCCATTATCTGTGTGTTCCAAATTGAATATGGGTAAATTAAAAGCTAATAATATTACTCTACAAATGGCCGACCGTTCTTTCAAATACCCCTTAGGTGTTTTAGAGGATGTTCTCGTTAGAGTAGGTAAATTTTATATACCTGTTGATTTTGTTGTTCTTGATATGGCTGAGGATATGCAAACCCCGATCATTTTGGGTAGACCATTCCTTAACACTGCAGGAGCAATTATAGATGTGAGAAGTGGTATATTAACATTATCAGTAGGGGACGATAAAATTGTTTTTAATCTTAATAATACCCCTAAAAGCCCCATGATAAAGGAGAAATGCTTTAGTGTTAATGTGGTTTAGAATTATTCTAACAAGCCCCAAGCTCTTGAAAAAGATCCCTTAGAGGCGGTATCTTGTGTTGCACCCCTTTCAGATGAGATAGAAAAATGGCAGAAGGAAGTTTATGCAATAGAAAGAGCCCTCTACACTGACAGTCTTGATTTTGAGGACGAAAAGGTGGAACCAATCAAGCAAGTTGTGCAAATTGAGCCTACGGTAAGTGTTCCGCCAGATCGAGTTGCAAAAGTTAAATGCAAGGACAATTTGAAGCAACCCTCGATCAAAGAGGGATCTTTAGTGCGCACCATTGAAGAACCCCCAATGCAAGTCAAGGAGGATCCACCAGATAAGATGAATTGGCGTCCCACAGGGCATGTCAGGAAGCCGCGTCGTAGCCAAAACACCGCTCGACTGGGTGAGAAACCGCCCGATCAAGCGTTAGGCCAAGGGTCCTAGTTCTTATAATTGGTAAGAAGGTCATGCGGGACCTAGATAAACCAGCGCTTTGCGGGAGGCAACTCGTATTTTTAATGCTTTTTAGATTAGTTTTTCTTTCTTTTTCTTATGAGAGGGGAGATGAGGAAATTTAATGAGTTCTATGAGTTTTTGTACAGTTTTGAAGGAAAAGAGTTCGCCAAAATTGAGAAAAGAATAAAGCAACAAAATTCGACAATTAACCTTGGGCCCGACCGGGTGAAGCTCGCCCGACCGGGCGCGAGAGCTTGGTTAAAAAATCAGGTCTTTCCGCCCGACCGGGCACGAGAAGAGACCAAAATTGCATCATTAGATCGCCCGATCGGGAGAATGGCGCCCGACCGGGCGCGAGAGTATGCAAAATTGGGTAGTTTAGATCGCCCGATCGGGCAAGTTCCGCCCGACCGGGAGCGAGAGCACAGCAGAATTTACTAATCAGATCGCCCGACCGGGCGCGATGCACCTGACCCCCCTTCTTCTTCTTCTTCTTTCTTCGGTTTTTCTCATTTCTATGTGTATGGGTTTGGGAAACTGAACATAGGTAGGTATATTATTCACCATCTGAGCAGACATGCCACTGCCAGTACCCAATCTCGCACTCCCATTCGTATAGAAGGCCTTATCACTAGAATAGTAGTGAAAAAGGCCGGTTTTGTTGTGGGTGGACCCCACCAACTAATCAATTGTGGACCAGATACCTATATGACTGCTAGGTCTTTTGAGGAGTTGGGGTGGGTACGACCGGATAGTGAGCAGACACCCTTCTGGTGTATTAGGACTGGGACCGAGCAGCCTTTGCCCATCTTTCCCCTACCTAGTCCTGACTTGACCGCCTTTCCCCCAGGGCAACCATCCTACACGTATGACCTTTTAGTTTCCAACTAGGGGGCAAGCACCACCTGTTCCACCACCCCAGCCTCAGCCTCAGCCCGAGGTGGCATTTTCTCCACCTCGCATGTCTCACTCCGTCCCCCATGTTGACTCTGACCCAGTTTGGGACCTTCAGAGTATAGGTCAGGCCATAGGACGTATCGAGCATTTCCACACTGACCTTAGGAGGATGGTAAGCTCCATAGACTAGAGGTTAGGGTACCTGGAGTGGAACCAGGGTAGAGCTCTCTTCCCTATGTACAATGATTATGCTCGTCGGGGCAACATTCCCGACGATGCTATTTATACTGACTGGTTTCAGCCTCCACCCGAGGGATATGATAGGGATCCCACTGCCCATGGTATTTACACTAACTATTCTGCCTTCCATGGGTACGGCCAGGACATTTCTTTCGGGGGACCGGCGGGGGGAGTTTTCATGCTGATTATTTTGGTGGTAGCTCCAGGTGGTGCAGGTGGCAGTGGAGGTGCAGGGTTTGGCTCCATGGATGAGGATGATCAGGACTAGTTATGCTGGGCTAGTTTCCGAGCCAATGAGGACATTGTCTGATTCTGGCTTGGGGGAGATTTTGGATTTGGTATCTTTCTTTTCTCTTTTCTTTTATTTTTGGTGTGTTTTCTTAGGTTAGTTTTATTGCTTTCTTATATATGAAAAAAATACAAAAAAATTGAAAAATATAAAAAAAAAATCCAAAAATACGTTCCAATGAATTGTAAATCATGCTTCCCTGTGCCCCATACTTGAGAAAATTTGTTTTGATTCTTGGTTATTGATGATAAGCATTGTGGATTAGTTGATCATGATTTGATGTTTGATTGCCTTGAAACCTTAAAATGCGTCAATTTTGCCCAACTACTTGTGAATATAGTGCTTGACTAGTTGATTTGGTTAGGAATGTGTGTTAGTTCCTGGTATGTCAATGAATTTGAGTATTGGTTTGCAATTATAAGTAATGTTTATATGATTCATTATTATGCACATTGAGGAGGACGAAGGCGTTCATTCTTTTAGGTAGCCTCCAGATAATTGTAGATATATTTGTTCCCTTCTTGCTACCCATGTTGTTGCCTTGACTTTTTGTTGTTTATTAGCCACATTACAAGCCTATTTTTCCCCATTGGTTACTAGTCCCAAGCTTGGCTTGGGGGAGCTATTAGTGAGAGAGGTGAGGGAGTTTGTAGTGTGCTTATTATTTGTACAATTTGGGTGGGATTTGAGAAGTTATTTTGTTTTTGATCATATTTATTTTTTTGATGAGTTTGAAAGTATTATTTTCTTGAAAAAAAAATAAAGTATGATGTTATTAAAAAAAAAAAAGAGAAGTTCAAGTGGAAAAAAAATAAGGAACTTCAATAAAATAAAATTAAAAAAAGAAAAAAATAGAAAAAAGTGTTCAATGTTCAAATGTTCTAGTTGGAGGTTGATCAAAAGGGAAAAATTGAGCTTCAATGAAAAATTCAAGTTTGGAAATAAAGTTGTTTATTCACTCCACTTCTTCATTATTATATTTTTATGAGTGAAATAGTAAGTGTTGGGATTGTTTATTGCTTGGAGTATATTTGGTGGATTTTTGTTAGAGTTGGTTATGTAGGAGATGTTGATCATTATTTATTTTGATCATGGGTTTTACTAGGATTTTCTCCCTTAAGCATAGCTTTTCTCTCACTTTTTCCCAAATGATTCCTACCCTTTACCCTAGCCTTACGTACATTACAAGCTTTAAAGACCTTCCGACCTTTGTGCATAGAGTTGTATGAATGTGAAAGTGTTGTTTATCAATGCAAGTTATGATTTGACATATTTCGAGTCGACTGGTAGGTTGAGCGTACATCTTTTTATACACACGAGAGTGTGAGTTGGGAGGGCATTGTTCACATAAAGGGGTTGGTTGGAGAGCGATCGAGTACATCTTTTAATCGCCACATAAATGAGAGTTGAGTGTGTGAGCACTAGTCTTGAATTCTATATGCTCTTGTGGTTTGCTCTATTTGACAATTGTTAGGGAAGAAAGGTAATTGGATGGATTTGATTGGTTGATTTTGAAGCATGTTTATTTGATTTACCCTGAATCGTTTGTGCTTGATTTTTACTTTTTAGGGTGAAGCATATTTATTTATTCATTGATGAGATCTTTGCTTAGGGACAAGCAAAGGTTTGGCTTAGGGGAGTTTGATGTGTCTATTTTATATAGTATTTTACCCACGTCCCTTGGTCATAATTAGTAGTGTTTTTGGCTCTTTAGAGCCACTTTTATTATTAATTGGTGTTTTCGTAGATTTGGTTGACATTTGCAGGGATTTGCACTTTTGGAGCATTTTCCCGATTTATTATGGTGCAATTACGAGCATTGGAGAAGCACGACCAATTTCTATAGCCCAGGACCGGTTAGACCCATCAAACCGGTGATTAAGGGCTCGGTATACGTGATACCGGGGCATTTCGACCGAGTATTCAAGACTCGAAGAGGAAACCCAGATTGGCCCGAAGAATTGGAACCCAATCGTAGTCCAAATAGTGGCCCAATAAAGTCGCCCGGCCAAAAAGGCTGGCGCCCGAAGGCGCGCTCGGCCGGGAGAGAGAAGCAAAGGTCGGCGCCCGAAGACGCGCCCGGCCGGGTGCGAGAAGTGTACCTGATGAGCCAATAGGCGCGCCCGATCGATCGGTGTCTCGCCCGATCGGGCGCGTATTATTATTAGGAGTTAATTTTGACGTTTAAGTTTGTTTTAGTTTAGGATTCGTACGGAGTATAAATACTTTTCCGTAAAACGAGTTTAGCAACTTTCTTTACTCTCTTCTTTACTCTCTCTTAATTGTTTCCTTAGATTTTCTCTCTCTACTTAGCTTTTAGATTAGTTTTCTCTCTCTCATACACTTTGTTCTTAACTTGTTTCTTAATTCTAGATTTATTTTGGTAACGATTTCTCTTCTCATAATCTTAGTTGTTTATTTTATTCCTTTGATCATGTCTTGTTTTATTGCTTTGATTAGTTTAGTTTTTATTATGTGTGAGTAGTTTTATTTCTAGGGTTTATGGGGATCCATAAATAATATGAAGGGGTAATTTATGGTTGTTAATTGTCAATGCTAGATTAATTTCCTATTGATTGATTTAATGCTTTGTGACTAGATTTGCGTAGATCTTTAATGCATGAGTTTAACAATATTGATTCGAGATTCGACAGATGAGAATTAATGTTTAGGTCTAGTTTCAATAGGCATTTTAATTTATAAATGGTTAAGTCGAGATTCGAAAGATGAGATTTAATACCGGTAGATTAATTGTGTAGTTGTAATACGTAGCGAAAGCCCTTTATGATCTGATTAATTTATGCATTGATGAATAATTATTATATTCTACCCTGGAATATTATTTAATGGAGAACCTATGCCCTAGATCCTTTTATATATTATTTTCTCCTTATTATTAATCTTCGTGGTTTAGTTTCATATCCAAATTTATATATCGGTTACATTATAATTTAGATTACTTTAATTTAGATTACATCAGTTAGAGGATTAAGGAATTACTTTTGATTAGGGGATACGACTTTACCCTGTCACTAACCCCCGCTGTCAGCACAACCAACCAACCACCTAAGCCTAGCATTCCAGAACCCATAAAACCAGATCCAGACAACCTAGAAAATTTCACCCCTACTCCAAGTCAACCTATTAAAACCGAGCCCAAATAGCCTAACTTCATTGCACCTGTGACCAACCCAACCAGCTGGATGCAACCCATATTTGATTACTTGGAACATGACATACTACCAGAAAATAAAGCGGAAGCAAGGGCACTCAGGTTTAAAGCCAGCAGATACGCGATCATCTAAGGAGTCCTATTAAAAAAATCCACCAGGGATATCTTGCAACGCTGTATAAAGGAAGATGGCTACGAGCAGATCCTCAAAGATTTCCACGACGGAGAATGTGGAGCCCACTCAATTGGAAGAACCTTAGCCAACAGGATACTCAATTATGGGTACTACTGGCCAACTCTGCGAGAAGACGCTCACAGGTATGTACGCAAATGTGATAGCTACCAACGACATTCAGGTATTACTCATAAACCCTTCATGCCTCTGCATGCCACTTTAACACCTTGGCCTTTCATGAGATGGGGGGTGGACATAGTAGGTAAATTACCTGCTGCCCCAGGTCAAAAGGTTGGCTCTAACAGATTATTTTTCTAAGTGGATTGAAGCAGATGCGTTCCAACAGGTCAGAGACAAAGAAGTTATCAACTTTATCTGGACTAACATAATCTGCAGGTTCGGAGTACCATCTGAAAATAGTGTGTGACAACGGATCCCAATTCATAAGTTCCCCAACCAGAAACTTCTGGGATAAATGGAATATCACGTTAGTCACTTCGACACCCAGGTACCCTCGAGCAAACGGGCAAGCTGAATTCAGCAATAAGGTCATCATTGGATCTCTAAAAAAGAAGCTGAAAGACAAGAAAGGCAAATGGGCAGAAGAGCTGCCAAGAATCCGTTGGGCCAACAGAACCACACCAAGAACCGCCACAGGTCAAACGCCTTTCTCATTGGTCTACGGATGCGAAGCTGTAATACCTACAGAAGTCGCCACTCCAACAGCTAGATATGGCTTGATGACGCCAGAGCGTAATAGCGAGGAGCTATCGCATGACCTAGATACCGTGGAAGAGCGAAGAGACCTAGAATACATAAGGATGGCCACCTATCAACAAATGGTAGCTAGAAGTTTCAACAAAAACGTCAAAGCTAGGATGTTCAAAGTGGGAGATTGGGTTCTAAGGAAACTTTTTCAAAATACCCAAGAGCTTAACGCAGGTAAGTTAGGTGCAACCTGGGAAGGCCCATACCAGATCGTAGAAGTCATTGGCAAAGGGGCCTACAGGTTAGCTACAACGAACGGTAAGCTGGTACCCAGAAGCTGGAATGCAACACATTTGAAACTCTATCACTTCTAGAATTTTCACTCGTGCAGTTTTTTTTTTTTAAAAAAAAAAAAGATCGGTACTAACTTAAGCATCAGAGGGTCGTTGGTGGCAACACCAACTGTTAACTCTAACCTGTTATTTTGCAGGACAACAAAACACGAGAAAACAACCAATGGTAATCTGAAATACAACTGGACGACACAAGAAACCAGAGTAATTTCACAGTCTTTATTTTTATCCATTTATTTTCTACAACTCGTACTGACTTAAGCATCGGAGAGTCGTTGGCTATAACCCTTGTGGTGCAGATACAGGTTCAGACTGATCAACGAACAACGTAGCTACGGGCCAAAGCGCCAGACATTGCAGATTCACATAAACAGATTCATAGAAGCAAAGACAAAGCACGTTCACAAGCCAAAGAAATCAAAGCAAAGCTAAGGTATTGTACGAACACTTAAAGACACCTAACGTTCAATATTCAAGAGCACAAAGTTCAAAGTATAAACCTTCGCTCCCACGAGAAAAGTAAAACAAAGTCCAAAAGAACAAAAGATTATTTTGAAAGCAAAAGACAGAAAACATGGGAAACAGAAAACACTATAAATCAAGCATCTGGTATCTGCTCATCCTCATCAACCTTCTTAGGTGGAGACTCAAGCTGATGACCTGGGGAAGACTCAACAGTAGACTTTGTAGCCTCAGGTTCCATAGGGTCAGCTTCACCGGATGCTAGATCCCTGATATAGCCAACAGTCAAATAATCATCAACTAGATGTCGAAGTTTCTTCACACCTGCGTCTCCCTCAAACTTTTTCAGCAAGAAACTGTTAGCCATATAAGCCTTAATTTTCAGAGTAACTTCAGCCTCAATGTTTTTGTTCTCATCCTCAAGGTCAACCAACTTCTTATACAGGTCTTCCGCCTCCTTGTCCTTCTTCTTCAGCTCTTCATCCTTGGCTTTCAAGGCATCACTCTTCTTCTTCATCTCCACTTTGAACTGCTTCTGCTTACCCTCTAGCTGCAGGTTAAAATCTTCCACCTTCTTCCTAGCTGCATCTACCTAAAGTTGCAACCCCTTCTTAACCTTGTCAGACTCTAGCAGTTTCCTTTCCAAGCCGTCGAACTAGGACTTAGACTGCAAAATATTTTGGAAACCCTGTTACACCAATAGTATATCAAATCAGCACAAATCTATCAGGAAGCAAATTAAGCAGAACCAGTTTAGGAGACACACCTGTAGGACCAGTTGAGCCCCATCAGCTAAAGCCAAAGAGCCATCCAAACTCGCTAAACGCTTAGTAGCTGCTGGAAACAAGAGCTTTTGGGCCTCTAGCCAGATCCCATTATTTGAACCTTCCTCAACCAGAAAATTAGGAGGGAAACTAACATCATAGGTATCTGGAATAAACACAGCCTCGAAAGGAGTATTATACCTAGTACGAGGGATTCTAACATCTTCTCTGTTAGATAGAGTCCTAGAAGGGTTGTTGTAGACACCTAAAAATGTCTCCCCAAAACCAAACCCGATGATAAATAACCTTTCACCGCCACTATTAGTCGGGTTTAGTATCTAATCCCGAGAGTGCTTAAAAAGTCGTATTTTATTAAATCCCTATTTTTGAAAGATCCATGGATCAGTCTTGGTGTTTGGTAAAAGCATAGTTTTAATTTGTTAATTAATTTTAAGCCCAAACCTTTTTATTTTATTATTTTATTATTTATTTTTGGCCCAAATATTTTATTTATTTTTATTTTATTATTTTCTTATTTTAGCCCGAATAATAAAAGTCAGGAAAAAGCCCGAAATTATCAATCGGCACTTAAAAAGCCGAAAGAAATTAGGGTTAAAAATGAATTTAGACGGAAAAATGGACTGGAATTGACCGTGTCACGGTACAACTTGACCGTGTCACGGGAACTGTTCCCGTCTGACGGTGGGACTTCCCGTGACACGGGAGGTCTGCCGTGACACGGAGAGTTCCGTGTCCTTTCCGCGTAAACCCTTAACGCGTTTTCCGTTCCGTTTTCTGAAAATTTCCAGCGTCACTCCAAAACTGACCGTGTCACGGGAACTTGTACCGTCTGACGGTACAGTCTGACCGTGTCACGGGATACTTTTTTAGGGTTTTTATCATTTTAGGGTTCCGTGTGCTCCCTCAGCACATTTTCCCTATAAATACCCCCTCATTTCTGATGTACGGGGCAACGAGAATTCTATTATTCTTATGTTTCTCTCTTCTACGCTCTTAACCTAAACACTAGCCTACCTTTTTCACTTCAAAATTCCTTCTTCAAGCACTCAAAGGAGTCCATATTTTACTCGAGGTTCTGTCCTTAAACCAAGGCGTGAAAGGTAGAATCATTTGAGGGTTTGGCCCCAAAATCAACCTTATTTTATTTAATTTAATTTAATTGTTATTTTATTATTTCCTTGAAGTTACTAACTCGTTTATTATTTTTTAGTTGCAAACAAACAGATTCAAAGTAAGGATCATGCTCTTTTTACTATTGTTATTTTTCTAACGATTTTTATGTTGTTGGAATTATGATTAAATTGGTTTTTATGTTAATATTGATTCTATTATTTATTTTGATCACCATATTGCATGTTTAAAGGGAATATGTAATTGAAAATCACGCCTAATAAGATAATTTGGACAACCGGTTTAGGATCCTTTTTAATCTTGTTGTTTAATCAAGTGATCACCATATTTTAGAATTATGTGTGCATTAATTTTAAACCAATTTATCTTAATAAAAGTTTGGAGCAAATTGAATATTTTGTTTGCATGCCTTTGAGATCACAGGAATGCTTTTCAATATAAGAATCGAGTAGAGGCCAATACGGGCGAATGTGACTCCATGACTCACTTCGTACCATCATCCCCGATCCTCCTTTAGTGGTTCCGAACCATATGGAGTTAGTAATCTCATGGATTATGAATGGGGTGTAACCTTCACGGGTCAATCGTTGTTGCCTATCGTTGTCCCTTATCGTGGTTGCCTTTTTATGATCCGTGAACGGTTTACAAGTTCCTAAAAAAACTTGTTGGCGGCTGTAGGGAATAATTTCAAGCCTTTAAAATCCCACTAGCTTGAACCCCACTGTGATCATACACTAATGTACGGTGGCGTCCAAAAGGGAAGAAGATAGAGCAAAAGAGTCGCCAACAAGTTTTTAAGGAACTTGTAAACCGTTCACGAGGTGAAGGTTACACCCCTTAACGATCCAAGAGATCGTCAACTCCATAAGGTCATGAACCAAATAAGGGTTCGGGGATGATGGTACAAATCCAACCTAAAAGAGATTGAACCTGCCCTAATAATAGGCCTCTACTTTATTCTGCTCGTATTCATGTGCGCTTTCTGACTAACATACAATCAATAGGATTAACCCTAAACCTGTTTAATCTATGTTGGTTGAATTTAATGCACAAATAAACTATTATTGGCGATCACTTGAAATTATAATCACAATTAACCTAACAAGATTATTAATTATCTTATTAAGCGTGATTGCAAATACCAATTCCCTTTAACCTGTAATAAAAGGTGATCAAGCAATAACAATATAAAATAATATGCATATCAAGCAACATAATAAATAATCATAATAATAAATAATCATAAACATTAGAAAGAACATAGGAAGCATCATACTTGAAATCATACTTGATATTAAAGATACCCTAGACATGATACTAGAAATCATAACAACAATCTAAGCATGATATCTACATCATAAAATCAATTAAACCAATAAAATACTTACTTGGATGCCTCGTATCTCTTTCTAATTACAAAATACACACGTTAGTAACTTAAAGGAAAATAATAATCAAAACAATTAAATTAAATAATTGAAATAGAGATTTGGGACCAAACCCTCAGAAATTAAAACCTTTCACGTCTAGGACGAAGGCAACTTCGAATATGGCTAGGTGTTTCAAGATCTTGTGAATGCGGAATTTTGTATTAAAGAGTAAAGTTTAGAAAGAATGATAAAAGATCAATGATTCATAAACTAATTGTTGACGATTAATGATTGTAGATGATGAATGAAAATGGAGTTTATCAAAACTTCAAAATAAAAGAATTGGTGAATGATAGATGTAGAATGATTGAATGGTGAATGAATATTGATAATCCGTGAATCAAAACGGAGTTTTTGATACGATATTTATAGAGAAAAACATCCAAAAAAGAAAATTTATCAAAACAGAGTCTGAAGATTGAAAAACCACCTTGGCGCCAGCCCTGGCTCATTGGCGCCAGGACCAGTGGCTAGCGCCAGGCGCCAATGGCTGGCGTCTGGCGCCAATCCTGGTTCCAGGCGCCAAGGCCTGGGGTTGGACGCCAAACCGGATTTTAACGCGTTTTCGAAAATCTGATAATTTTATTGTACTGGAAGATAAAATAATATAATTTCAGTCGAAAATGCTATTTGATCTAATTAAAACTCTGAAGAATCCTAATTGAATTAAGAATTATAAAACCTTCTAGAATGTTCTAGAAGACCAAAACCATTCCTAATTGCATTAGGAATGATAAATCATATAAGGCCCTCCCCTAGATCATTGGGTTGTACTTAAAGCTCAAACCAGGCCCAGTTTAGTAAATTGGCCATAAATTCCTCAATATTCATCGGAATTGGGCTTATAATATATCATTGGAAAGGTCTTTGCAAGTCCCATCCAACTACACCACTATTGGACCCATATCATGGACCAACCAAACTGGATTGGCTGTTTTCTTAAAATAAAGTTTTCAAAAACAGAGAGAAGAGAAAAGAAAAGAAAAGAAATAAAACTTTCCGCAACACTAGACCTTTCCACACTTTCGTTTCATTCGATTATGATTCGATGTGAAAGGTACTCATCACTGGGTTTGGTTTTGGGGAGACACAAATGGGTGTCTACAGCGGCTCCCTACTTTACTTGTCCCTAATCATAATGTCAATTCCCACTTCCTATGAGTGCCAAGCATATTCACAACATGCTTTAACGTAGGCTCACTTCGAACGACGC